GGTCATATGAACATACGAGCCCAATGGCCCAGATTGAATTTGGGCCGATCTGACGGTCACGACCTCATTTTGTGTTTGAATTTTAATTTTTTTTATAAAAATCCAAATCTCTTAAAATTTTAGGTGTGTATTTTTATCATCAAGGCGCACCTAATAAAAATATAAGAAAAAACTTATTTGAGAAAAAAACAACCAAAATACCTCGAAATATTTTGAGGGTATTTTGGTCAATTTATTTCATGTAAAATATTATTTTGATATTTTTCAAAGATTCAACTATTTTTGATGAACACACTTCTAAAATTTCATTGGATTTGGATTTATAGAAAAAAAAATAAAATTAAAATACTAACGGACATCCGTGATCGTCAGATCGACCTAGATTCAATCTGGGCTGTTGGGCTCATGTATTCATATGAGCTAGTGGGCTAATACCAACTTTTTCCATATATATAGGGCAAAGTTTATATAGAGCCGAAACTCTAAAGAATCAAATTAGAGCCTGCCTCAAAAATTTCATGAAAAGAGGTTATTTTGATGCCCAAATATTCTCAAATTGATCATCTCGACATCAAGATGCATGAACATGAGAAAAAAATGGATTTCAAAATTTGAAAATAGTGCATTTTTTAATCCATTTTTGGACTGTCAATTTTCAAGTTTTCATAGATCGGTCGATTTACACTATTTTTGAAGCTTTAAACTTTATAAATAAAGATGAAAATATATTTTAAGGCTATCACAAAGATTTCCAGTATTGAAACCACATTTCTCGATACTATTTTAATGTAGGCTCTAATTTGATTGTTTAGAGCTTAGGCTCTATACAAACCACATCCATATATATATATATATATAAATATGTGACACAATGTACAATGGCTAAAATTTCTTTTTTAACTGCTGAATAATTTTGCTGAGTCTGGTTCCAAGCTTTGGATGTAAAACGGACTAATTGCTATTTTTCAAAAATTATTTGTTTTAGTATTCTTCCTAAGCCTATTTCAGAGGCTTCAAATTCTATAATTTTAAAAGCATTAGGATTTGAAAGTGTTAGGCAAGGTAATTTTTTTGCCTTTATTTTTATTTTTCTCACAGCCAGAGTATGCTCATTTGTCTACTTTGGTGGATTCTTTTTTAACCTTTGAAACAAATGTTTAGCATCAATGACCAAGTTTTCATTGAAATCGGCAATATAATTCAAGCAACCCAGAAATCTTTGAAGCTCAGTTTTATGTAAAATATTGTCTGGGAATTTATTAGCAAATTCAATTGCCCCATCTATTGGCACAATACTGCCTTGAAAGATATTATGTCTTAAGAATCTTATTTTAGTTTGGCAAAGACTATTTTTCTTAGCTGAGACAACTAATCCTGCATTTTTTATGGCATTTATAAAAACATTTATATGTTTAAAATGTTGCTCAATATTATCAGAAAATATCAAGACATCATCAATATAAACTATCATGAATTTCATAAATGGATTGAAAATATCATTCATTATTTTTTGAAATTCAGAAGGAGCATTATTGAGTCCGAATGGCATTACATTCCATTCGTACTGTCCAAATGGAACATTGAAAGCAGTTTTATATCTGTCATTTTCGGAAATCTGGATTTGCTAATATCTTGCTTTTAGATCGAATTTAGAAAATATGCAAGCATTCACAAGTCTATCTAGTAAATCTTTTTTATTTGGAATTGGATACATTATCCTTTTGAGAACCTTATCGAGAGGTTTATAATTTATTACCAGTTTTGGAGCCCCTCTCTCTTTTTCAGAAGCTTTTTCGACATAAAATGCTGAACAGCTCCACAGAGATGAACTTTTTCGGATAAGCTGTTTTTGGAGTAAATCATCAATTTCTTTTTTACATATTTCAAGCAATCGAGAATTCATCTGAATAGGTCTAGCCTTTGTAGGTATTTTATTTTCATTAAACCCTTATTCATAAGGCAGGCTTACAATATGCTTTTTCCTATTCCAAAAAGTACTTGATAGGTCTGCACAGATTTCATTTTCTATTTTCTTTCTAATGTTTGCAATATATTTAATATTTTAAGATAAAAAGAGTTTTTCATCTATTGTTTTATATTTTAATTTTTCTTTCAAATGGCACAAATTTTTTTCTTTATTTGAAATAATTTGTTTCACATTATTCACTTCCCTTATTTTTGGTTTATCAACAAATTCGAATTTTATATAATGTCCTTCTATAGTAGCTTCTATTCCTGAGCTATCTATTTTTAATGGATATAAAAAATTAAAAAATGGAGTTCCAAGAATTACAGCTTGACTTAGTCCTTTTACCATAATAAATGGCATTTCAAAGCAGTTTCCATTATTACATATAGCAGCATTAGATAATTTATAATTTATTATAAGTCTACCATCTGCAGTATTTTAAATTAGGGCCGTTTTGCTAAAATATTTGGTGGGGACTAGTCCTTTATTTATGCAATTTAGATCAGCTCCGGAGTCTACTAAGGCTAGGGATTGGAAATTATATTCTTTATTACTATAATTCTGATTAATGTAAACCATTTTTGGGTAATTACCTTATCAATTAGGTTTACATAATTATCGGTTTGTACAGAGTTAGAAGATTCTGGTAATTCCCCTATTGGTGATGGCGGATTTTTATAACCTTTTACAAGGGCATCAAATTCAATTTCTTCATCTATATTATCTGGAGTGTTTTGTAAGTTGGAAGTTAGTTCCAGAACTTGTATTCTATTTTTAAGAACGATTAATTCATTTCGAACTTCATTTATCTCATGTTTTAGGTTAGCAATGGATGATTCTTTTTTAGAACTATTTTTTATTATTGATTCTTTTGAGAATTTCAGGAAGACTATAGTCTTCTTGGGTCTTTACTAATGGAGAAGGTTTTTTCTTTGCTTTAGCTATTTGAATATATTGGGTTAAAGCTTCTTTTTTTGCATTAGGATATACTATTTTGTCAATTATTTCTATTATTAAGTTTTCTTCTTTAGAAAGTACATTGCAAAAGCAATCATTATATTCCTCAGAGTCGGAACTACTAAATATTAAAGTTTCATCTTCAAGTTCTCCGACTAGTGGTTCAAATTCTGTAGTTGATGGACTATCTTCAAATTCTTCATCTATTTGCAGTATTTGATACAATTGTGCTTTTATATTCTCCTCTAACTTTAAGGCATTAATTTTCTTCTGTATTCGGCATTTATTTTTATAGTGCCCTACCTTGCCACAATTATAACATACTGGGATTCTTTTTTTACTTTTATATTTTTTGGAATTATTTTTAGAGGC